CCAGACCACTTCAGCTCATTGAAGTGGTCTGGCTGCAGTGTACCTTTTGCACCTAGTGCTGCAATGCTACCAGACAGCCAATCAAGGACTTCCAGAATCGTAACGGACTTATGGTCCGTTATCTGATGCTGGACGTGCGCAATCTCTGCATGAGGACTTCCAGCATCAGATTTTTCCCCATAGGAAAGCATTGATTCTATGCTTTCCTATGGGGAGGTCTAAAGCACGCGCAGTGTTTGCTGTGCATGCCCATTAGACCTCGCTCATCGCGGGATGAATGAGGGGGTGGAGCTTTGACCCAGCGCCGAGGGACTTCGGCGCTGGGATCAGGTAAGTTAATAAAGTGATTTTAACCATGTATTTACCAGGTAGGAGAGGGTGCAAGGGAGAGGGAAGGCAGAGGGATAAGTAGTGCCAGGAATACCGCTTTGTACAGGCACAGAGGCCCTTGGGAAGAAGACCCCTAGTGGTCGGTATGGGGAACCCTGTAGATTTAGTGGTGGGCTTTGGTGACAAAGGGAACGAAGTTCCTTCCCACAGTGGGAGGGGAAAGATCCTGGGAAGTGACCCTGTATGATTGTGTGGTACACCCCTTGCATGGGGTTATGCCTAAAAGCGTGTATAGCCAATAAAAGTGTGTTGTACCTCCAGGACTGTGTGTCTTCCAGTTACTGTGGGCGAAATGGGTGTCTTTATATTCTAAAAGGAAGGGGATTAGTGGAGGTAACTTGTTGGGTAACCCATGGTCCGCTACAACTGGTGTCAAGCGGCGGGATCGCACTTCCCAGCACTACAGAACCAGCGTTCTTGAGCCAAACAGACCCATGCACTACATGGCTTTGAAGATGCAAACGTTACAAGATTTGCTGGAGTTCAGAGGGCAATCAGCAGGCACTCGTACCAAGGCTGAGCTAATTGCTGCCCTCATGAATTGCGTAAATGGTGAGGCAGCTGTACAGCATTGAGAAGGTGAGAAAGATGCTCTCGACAAAGAAATGGCCCGGTGCCTGGCCTACTATGGGGAAACCCCCTCAGCAGAAATCATGAGGCACAAGCCTATGTCCTGGCTCAGAGGAATAGTGCGACCCCCCCCACAATCAGACGAACAACAGGTGGGGGAGAGGTCCCTGGGGTGTCAGGCAACTCCTGCCTGAAAAAACAAATTGCCCTATGATGCCTTCAATGAGTTCAAGGAAGCAGAGGAGAGCATTGATGACTTCCTGCAGGATTAGGTCACCATCTTGGCCAGGAAGCAAGCAGGGAAGGCTGCAAGTGCCTACCGGGCCGTACCTGAGGACAAGGTCCGGGAGTATGACTTTGTAAAACAGGTCCTGCTGGCCAGATATGCTATAACTCCAGAGGCATAGAAAGTTCAGAGAGACGAAGAAAGGGGAGAAGGACTCCCATGCGGAATGGGCCTGCAGCATCACCCAAGCTACCCAGAACTGGATGAACACCAAGCAGGCAAAGTCTCCCAAAGAGATCCTCCAGCTGTTTATGCTGGAACACTTTTATAATGGGTTTCCTGCTGAGATGCAGGAATGTGTGATAGAACGGCAGCCCAAGACTTTAACAGAAGCAACTCAGCGGGCCGGCGAGTATTAAGATACCCAGCGTCCTCAACCGCCACACTACCTCCCACAACTACTGACCCTCCATATGACTTTTGACATAACATAACCCTGTGGCAACCACCCCGCTCAGAAAGTCCCTGGCTCTGACACCACCACAGTGAGCACCGGCCAGGGCGGACCGGTGATGGCCCCAGTCCAGAGGCCGCCCCAGTCCACAGGTCAACCCTGTGGGTGAGCCCATTGGTCCCTCCTGCCCCGCGAGCAGCTGCCCTCTGTTACCAGACTTCCCCCACTGAACCCCACACCCCCCACGAGGAAGCCTGGATCTTCCTGCATGAAGTGAAACCTATCCAAGCCACCACCGACAACCGGGATCATCACGGGCAGCTGGTTCAGCTGAACAGGTGCACTGTCCAAGGGCTGCGGGACACCGGAGCACCCTACCTCAAGTTCGACCCCAGCTGGTTACCAAGGAGGAGAAGACTGGGGGAGCAGTCGACGTCCGGGTAGCAGAGAGGTCCATCCACCGTCTACCCATTTCCCACATTCACCTCGACTGGGGCGCGAGAGCCCAGAGACTGGAAGTCGGGCTCATGGACCAGCTACCAGTGGAAGTGCTACTCGGCAATGACCTGGGCCACCTTACCTCCACCTACATGCCCCTCCAGGCTTTGGAAGAAACTTACCTGATGATGACCCGGTAGCAAGCCCGCACCACCTGGCCCGGCTCACACCCTGAGGCTCAGGTAGGCACACGTATACTCCCCCATGCCCCAGTTCCACACAGTAGCTCTGTAAGCTGTCCCCCAGGCTAATCCCCATAACCCAGTTCCACACAGTTACCACTGTAGACAGGCCTCCTGTGCTAGTCCCTTAACCCCGGTGCCCAGTGGTTTCCCCCTTGCCACGGTTCCCTTGCCTTGGGATTTCTCCGGGGGAACCTCTCTGGTCGGGGCACCCAATTTACTGCTGGGATGATTAATCAACTGTGAAGGTTATGCGGCATTAAACTGACCCTCTGGTCCCCATATCACCCCCAAGGGCACGTTGAAGCAGATGCTCTATACCTTTCCAGAGACTTGCAAGGATTGGGAGATATTCCTGTCGCATCTCCTGTTCACATATGTGCCCCAGGAATCCACAAGGTTCTCTCAGTTTTAATTAATGTTCGGATGGAGGGTTAGAAGGCCCTTAAATCTGGTCCGGGAGCACTGGGAAGGGGAGGAAGAACAGGAGGAGACCCCCATTATCCCACATGTGCTGGAGTTTAGGGACCGACTGGAAGAACTCATTCACCTGGTGCGTGGGAACCTCCAGGTGGCTCAGAGGTGCCAGCACACGTGTTATGATCGGGGAGCCAGGAGCCATAGCTTTCAAGTTGGTCAGAAGATTTTGGTTTTAAAACCCATCTGACATGACAGGCCCATACAAGGTGGTGGAACAGAAGCGTAACACCACCTATGTGATTGGTCCTTGCTCGGGTCCAGGGGTTAGACGCCTGTTACACGTTAACATGCTGAAGCCCTACCACGAGTGGACAGAGGATGTAGCCTCGATATGTGTTCCAGCCTCTGAAGATTTTGAGACTATTCCCCTGAGGTCCACCTAGGAGACCGACTAACCGAGAAGGAATGCAAGTCGGCATTCGTCGCCTCATTTGGCCTGTACCAGGACATTCTTCATTTGGGATAAAGAATGCCCCGATCACCTTCCAGAGGATGGTGGACCAGCTACTGGTGGGCCTCCATGGCTATGCATGTGCATTTCTGGACGACATCGCCATTTACAGCGACACTTGGGAGGAGCATCTGGTACATGTGGGAGCTGTACTCGACAGGATTAGGGAGCCAGCATTAACCTTAAACACAGTAAGTGCCACCTGGGAATGGCCGAAGTAAACTTGCCTAGGAAACCTGTATAGGGTGTGGGAACCAGAAGCCCGAGCCAGCCAAGGTTGAGGCCGTAGCTAGCTGGCCCCGTCCCCACAAGATCTAGGTGATGGCTTTCCTAGGGATGGCTGGCTATTATAGGAAGTTTGTCCCCTACACAGTGCCCTAGTCAAGCTGCTCACTGACTATACCCGAAAGACCTTGCCTAGACAGGTAGACTGGGCCCCAAAGTGTGAGCAGGAGTTCCAAGCCCTTAAGACTGCTTTGGTGAATGACCCTGCCCTGGCTGCTCCTAATCCGAAAAAACTTCTCATCCACACAGATGCCTCCATGTTTGGATTAGGAGTGGTGCTGAGCCAGGACGGGGACGATAGCGGAAAACATCTAGTAGCTTATCAAAAAGCTACAACCCCGGGAGGTGAGCTACGCCGCCATAGAAAATAAGTGCCTGGCAGTGGTGTGGGCATTCAAACTGCAGTCCTACCTATATGGACAGCAATTCACCTTACTCATGGATTGCAACACGTAGATGTGTCTTAACCAGCTCTCGGGACACATTGCCTTGCTGCTATGGTGGAGCCTGGCCCTGCAGCCATATGACTTTACTATTCACTACAGACCCTGTAAGCAGAATAGGAATGCCGACGGGTCGTCCAGACAGACGACCCTGGAGAAGTGATCCTTGAGTACTCCCCCAGACATCCCCAAGCCGATCTGTTGAGATCAGACTGTGTATGCTGGCTTGTGGTTAAGAAGGATCTGTGCGGCGGAACGGCTGCCTGTTCATGAGTTTTCCTTCTCTTTTACATGCGTTTCCCCTGTATTTTTGTTTATTGTTCCCACTTCCCATTCGGGAGCGCCTCCCCTAAGGGAATTCATTCACCTCCTAAATGGGGACCATCCCAATACTTCCTTTAGAATGTTAGGTTAGAATGTTCACACCTCGCAACATAAGTGTCAAAACCGCAAACCGCAAGGGAAACAATTAATGAGTGCTTCACACTAGGACCTCGCGAATGGAGACTAGTCGATTAAAGGGACCAAGGAGATGGTCCCTGAGATTGGTGTGGGTACTTTTGGGGCACTGGCGAGTTTGGCAGGCTCTCCAAAGACTGAGGGACAAAGAGAACTTCCCGCGCTGGGATCCCAGGGAAGGTGAGGATCTTGGGATGTGACCCTGTATGATTGTGTGGTAGATGATTCTGTTTTGAGATATGTAGAGAGTATTCTAGACCTGAGGAAGATTTGAAAGCGTGCGGGAGGTCGTTCCATAATTGCGGTGCTCTGTTGGAAAAGGAGGATTGAGCCACTTTCTTTTTGTATTGAGGTAGACTAAATAAAGTGCTGGTACTGGATTGGAGGTTATAGGAGATGGGAACAGCCGGGAAGAGCATTCTGCTCAGATAGGGTGTGAGCTGCCCAGAAAAACTCTTAAACACAATACTGGAAAGATGAAGGGTATGTCTGGATTAGAGATGTCGCGAACCGTCCGCGAACTTCTCGCGAACGGTTCACCGCGGTTCGTGGCGAACTCCGGTCAGCTGACACATCCCGGCCAATCTCTAGCAGACCCTCCCTCCCAGACCCTCCTACTTCCTGGACAGCATCCATGTTCAACAAACGTGGATGCTGTCCAGGAAGTAGGAGGGTCTGGGAGGGAGGGTCTGATGGAGATTGGCCGGGATGTGTCAGCTGACCGGAGTTTGCCACGAATGGTTCGCGACATCTCTAGTCTGGATTCCAGCACCAGCCAGTTTAGTTTTTTTAACATGTCACAATGGTGGGTCATGTAATCACATAGTTACATAGTTACATAGCTGAAAAGAGACTTGTGTCCATCAAGTTCAGCCTTCCTCACATATGTTTTTGCTGTTGATCCAAAAGAAGGCAAAAAAAAACCAGTCTGAAGCGCTTCCAATTTTGCAACAAACTTGGAAAAAATGTCTTCTTGACTCCGAAATAGCAGTCATATATTTCCTTGGATCAAGCAGCTATTACCCCTTTGAATAGAAATTATATCCCTGTATGTTATGTTTTTGCAAGTATTTATCCAATTGTTGTTTAAACATCTGTATGGATTCTGATAAAACCACCTCTTCAGGCAGATAATTCCATATCTGTATTGCTCTTACTGTAAAAAAAAGCAAATTTTTTTTGCTATAGTGAAATCTCCTTTCTTCCAGCCTAAATGCGTGACCTTGTGTTCTATGTACAGCCCTGTTGATGAATAGATTTCAAGATAATATACTGGCCCCAAATATATTTATATAATGTTATCATATCCCCTCTGAGGCACCATTTTTCCAAACTAAAGAAATTAAAAAATGTTAAACTTTCTTCGTAACTAAAATGCTCCATTCCTTTTATCAGTTTTGTAGCTCGTCTCTGCACTTTTTCTAGTGCCATGATATCCTTCTTTAGATATGACAACTAATTGAACACGAATATTTATCTAGACCAATTGTAGCACAAAGCGGCACAAAAAGTTATACAATGTATTAAGTTTATTAAGGTGGGTTTGTGGTGCAGGTGCATATACTACATCCCCATAATCAATGATTGGCATCAGCATTTGCTGTACAATCTTTTCCTTTACTGGAGTGCTTAGGCATGATATGTTTGTGTACAGGGCACCTAGTTTTGGCTAAAGTTTAGATGCTAGTTTTTATATGTGGAATCCAAAAGATAGATTGGGGTCTAACAACATACCCAGGTTTTTGAAAGAGTGGACTGTGGTCGGTGTGCTATTTGATTTTGTTTTGATGCATAGATGGGAATTTTTTAATTTGTGTAATTTAGGTACTGTTTCAAAGATCATTGTGACAGTTTTGTCAGTGTTTAGGAAGAGGTTTTTTTTGTGATCCACTTTTCTACCTCTGTGAACTGGTCTTGGAGCACAGCCTCAAGCTGCGGTAGATTGGATTTGCTTGCATAGATTACTGTGTCGTCTGCGTACATGTGTACATTTGAGGATTTGCAGACATTAGGCAGATCATTTATAAATAATGTGATAGCAGGGGGGCGAGAATGGAACCTTGAGGAACCTTGAGGAACACCACACATGACTGGGAGAGGTAGGGAGTCATTGTCAGAAATGGACACGGTAGTGGACCACGGGAAACCCGACTGGTTACCTCCACTAATACTTTCACTCAGCCACTCTGGAGCAATCAACACAAGTAAATCCTCATTCCCCCAGTAACCAGACAAAACATAGTCCTGGGAGTCAATTGAAGTTTATTTGGCACCATAAAACAGGGGTTTCAATCCCAGGAGAAATAATTGCGTGAGAAAAAGCCTCTAATTTAATTATCTCTCAGGCACAGAAAATCCAACAAAATATACTGTACCCCAAAAGCAACCCCACAAAAATTGCATCCCCCGATAGCCCCAATCTGAGTGTATAACATATCCAAGAATCACTCAGATCAGTTCAGTAAAACAGGAATGCCATCAAGGTACATTTTTGACTGGCCAGGCACGAGGCGCTAGTCCAAAACAGTTCCAGGGAAATAAGTGCCCTGGCCGGTCTCTGTTCGTGAGGTTCCTGTGAGAAAAATGCTGGGGAATCTCTTCATTTCAGAGTACGAATGCTCCCCCTCTTTGGTAGTTCATATCTTCCGAAAGTCGGTCATATAGGTGGTCTGGAAATAGAATGGGCAGCGGTCTAAGTTTTAAAGACATTCGCACGAATGCCTAGCCTAAAGAGTTCAAAGCACTCAACAACCAAGTACCACTGCCCACGTTTGTGAGACAGGGGAAACATTCATTATTACTTCCCTTGCTGTTTCACACTTCTGTGGTTGGTGTCAACATTCCAATGGGGTACAGGGGTGGACCTTGTTTGGGAGAAGAAAGAATTCTGTTCGTATGAAGTCTCCCATACGAAAAAAGGATGAAATATGCAAAATAACAGGGGAAAGTATATGAATAGGTGTAGGTTCCACCACAGACACATATTGTGATCGATCCGATACATATTATCGAAACCAGGTTAGAGGACGATCACCAATACCTGCGTTTTTTAGTTCGTGCAGCAGAATGTTGTAGACTACTGTGTAAATAGCTTTTGCAAAATCTAGGAAAATAGGTCCAGTTAGGTCTTCTTGTTCCATACCAGTTTGGATGTTATTGCAAACGTTTAAGTAGGCGGTTGTAGTGGAGTGATTCGGGTGAAAACCTGATTGATCAGGGGTCAGATTGTTAGATTGTTGGTAATACTCACATAGTTGCATATGGACGCATTTTTCTAAGATTTCTGACAATACCTTCCCTCCCAGACCCTCCCGCCTCCTGGTCAGCTCACTAAGAATGCAGCTTCACAATGAATGTAAAATGGATGCTGTCCAGGAGGTGGGAGGGTCTGCTGCTGATTGGCTGGAATGTGTCTGCTGACTGTGAGGTACATGGTCAAAGTTTACTCAATGATGAGTCCGCAGCGAACCGTTCACGAACCGTTTGGGACATCACTATTGGGCAATATTTAGAAACCAAAGTAGTAGCACCACTTTTATGGATAGGCACTACTCTCGCAGTCTTCCAAAGATTGGGTATGTATCCAGACACCAAGGATTAGTTAATTAGGGTTGTAACAGGTTTAGCAATTGCTGGTGCACTGAGCTTCAACAGCATTGCTGGAATTTGATCAGGTCCAGACTGGTTTTTCATTTTTAAATTATTAAGGTGTTTCTTAATGACACTAATAGGTACAGGTCTAAAACTGAACTTGTCTATATTGGGTCTTTGCAAATTTAGTGGGGCCTGATCCACATTTGTAGTTTTAAGGATGAGTGTCATTTATTAGCTTGGCAATCAGGGTGGTGGAGCATCTTACAAAATAATTGTTAAAGGCATTTGCTGCATCTAAGGGACGTTGCAGAGTTTGGTCGTCCACTTTGACAGTGGAGGGCTGGGAGTGGATTGGAGGAGTTTTGTAAGCTATTTATGACTTTCCAAAAGTTTCTAGGGTTTGAAATGTTATTGTTCAGATTTTCAAAATAATCTTTTAAGGAACAATGATGTAATAAATAGGATACGTCCTGAGAGACCCACCATTGTATATAGAGGGGTACCTAGTTCCTAATTTAAGAAATAGCTTGGTACATAAAAACATTAAATTGAAAAAACATACAGTTTGTTAAAGAATCCAATGGCTTGTTTGGCTGCGGTGATTGTGGAGCCTGTAAGAATACCTGTAGCAAAAAAATATATATTTTATTAGAGACTTTAATCATGAAAATAATACTTTCTGTATTAAACAAGTAATTACCTGATATTTCAAAAAGGTGATTTAAATAATAAAATGTCCAAGTGACTCCTGTATGTAGAACATACCACATGCATGCTAAATGTGTGCATACAGGAAAACATAAGAAATATAAGTAATGGCTACGAAAAACACAGTTTATCACTTCACTATATAATCAAACATAATAGGGATCTGTAACAGGGTGCCAAAAAGTGTCTGACAGGGTTGATAGAAACAACGATAATAACAGATTAAAATCAGCTCAGTCCTCAGAGTCACAGCCCCAGTCATACACTGTGGAGCTTCATAATTTTTCAACTAGACACATCATGTCTCTGCTACTTAGTGACTGAGCAGTGGACCATGGGAATAATAAACAAATAAAAATAAATGAGTTAGGAACAAAAACAATGGTGCTACTATCACATATGTGGGTCACTCCACCACACACATAAAATGCAAAACTTATATCGAAATAATAATGCGTGAGAGCACACAAATACTTTACAATATTTTTTATGTGTTGAACAAGAATATAAACCTTCATCGCATATGCACATGGGGAGGGAGAAAAGAAGCCTGTGATTTCAAAGTTGCCCCATGCATAGCTGCATAACACTGACATTGTTTGTATAAATAAATTGTATATTGGATATCAGTACTGGACAGTGGGGAGCTGAGTCTACACTATGCAATGTGCAGTAGGAGTTAATAAAACAATTAGTGATATGCAGCACGGTATTGTCTGTCACACGTGTCTCATTTTCATGGTCCCTTCCCTTGTCCTTCCTAGTTTAGACAGACAGACAGACAGACAGATAGCGTTTTGACACAATGTAAAAATGTACTTAAGCAAATGGCATGGGATAAATATTCAGTAAGAAAGCACAAAAGGAGGGGAGAGAAAAGGGGAATATTTAAAATAACACGGAACTAGGGGAAAAAGTCACGAGCAAAAAAGGAGAAATGGAAGTTAAACAGAATCAAAAAATAAAATATACCAATGTGTATATCCATTGATCTATCCATTGATCTATCCATTGATCTATCCATTGATCTATCCATTGGTAGGTCAGTCTGTAATGCTGTTTACTCTGATGAACTTGTCTACAATTAGTTTTATGACCTACTATATAGATTTTTTCTTAGTTGGCCTCATAAGCATCAATATACAGAAATACTGAATTTATCATCCCAACTCATCAGGACTAAGTGACCACCACATCAAGGCCCTGCTGAAAGTTTATACTCTGAGTGAAACATTGACCTACTAAATAGTGTTTGTTCATTTAATATATTATCTGCTATAGGTTGCACCGGACTTTAAATTATCTGATGTCTGTGAGTGGAAGATCTTGCATAGGCCTAAATGGATAGATGGATAATCAGGATTAAGGTTTTAGATACAGTAAAAAAAATAAAAAATTCATGCATCACTTGGCAATTTCTT